ATCTCGTTGGGACGCATACGGAATGCGGTGGCTCCTCCCCGAGTCCCGACAAAAGGGATATGTTTGCCACAGGCACACACGAGCTGCAGGGAACTGTGCCGCCCTTGAACACTTTGAGCCAACGGACCATCCGTTGGAGCCATCGAACCAGTGGGGTTCGATGGCTCCATTTTCGACCGAGCTTCGAACAACCTCACGCAGCGAATTCTAACTTGGCAAACAAAATTCTTACTTGGGTCCGAGAAACTCCCCAACACGATACTTAATACATACACTTATGTTTTCTACATCTGACGAAACAAAGATTACTACTTCGTCGTGCGTTTTCTACTTTAGGGTTTCTCTACGCTTGGGCAGCTAGTTGGCAGAAAGAGGCTTTTCCCCAACTCCAATGTGTAGGCAGGTGAGCGTTTCCCCAGGCAGCATCGCACGCTCGGAGCAACCGGAGTTGCCCCTTTGCTACGACAAACGAGTCCACGGAAAGAATGCACCCGCCTTCACCTCAGTTAGGCATGCAGCCGTCTTTGACTTGGACTAGAGGCGTCGACGCGGTTCCCGCCGTGCTCTCCGTTCGTTGCACCCAGAGCTCTGTTTGTACCCACTTTCCCTCTCAGGTAGAAGGGAAAGAGTCTTCTCGCACGCTTCCAATGGGCGCGTTAAGTCCGCGCTCCTCTCCTCCTACTCAGAGTTCCACACTCCGAGCGCAGCAACTAAACGGAGCACAGCCTCTACAGGAGCGCGACACACGGAAACTATCGACGAGCCACACAAGCCACTTCCGACAACACGGTTATGACGAGGATGGCCAGAGGCCGAAATTATTTCCAAGATAACATTAACCTCTGTAAAGCGGCACTGTAAAAAAAAAAAAAAAAAAAAAAAACAAAAACGGTGGCGTTTGAAAATTTCTACGAATGTTTTAATATTCCTGAAAGGTTTCAAGATTCGCTTCGAGCACATATGCGAAAGTTACCTTGCATGCTGTTCAGATACAAATGAAAGACATTCTTGAACTCGCTCGTCGACGCAGAAAGTTGTTCCTCAGATGTTCCGCAGTTCCGTCTAGTAGCGCGAGACGGAACCCGTCCCTGTGCTACGCCGATACCGGCACACCATGCACCGTGTTCAGTTGAGATGCATGAACAAACCTTTCTGCGACGCTAACTGATGTTTCGGCTCTCTAATCCAAGTATCTTTACTCCTTGGGCTGAGCATTCTAAACAGGGCAGCGGTCCGACTGTCTCCTCATCTCGACAAGTTTTCTGTCGCTGTGCCACGTGCTGTGCCTCACGTGATCGTCCTCGCAATTTGTTTAGATACAATAAAAACGAGGCACCTTTGAGTTATTCCAATTTTTCAGGGCGTTTTATTTTGGCGCCCCCCCCCCCCAGCGTGGCCCAGAAAGACACAAAGCCGAATCGTCAACTTGTCCGAAAAGGCTCGGCATGGAAACCAAGGGCAAAAGAATTGGTATAACGGCCGAAAGCCCGAGACCTTTGCAAACCTCATTTTATACCTGATGGTTACCAAAGTGGAAAAACATTGGACTTGCAAGTCATGGTGAAGGGTTGGAAGTTGACCGATCCTTGGACGTCACTTCCAAGCATTGGTGAGCTAGGGGTTGCAAGATCATTGCACTTGAGATCCTTGGACGTTCAGGGGACTTGCAATCATTGGACATCGGCCACTGTCTGCTTGGGTCTGTGCTCCCCGTGGTTATCAGAATGGCACAGGCAAGTTTTACATTTTTTTTATTCAACGAACCCCCTGGATTTTTCACGGATGCTTCAAAATCGGTGAAATACCCACTCAGCAAAATGGAAACACCGAAAATTGCCGAATTTATGAATGAAAATAAATGCTCAAAACCTGCAGCCAATTTGAAAACATAAACGTAGAAAAGTTGGAATTTTCTAAATTGCCCACCCCTTTTTGTTCACTCGCGTTAGCTTTGGCCGCAGGAGTGGGGCCTTCTCCTTGATGGTCAGATGGATTGATAGGCGTCCGACGCCCAAGCTGCCAGTGAGTCTACGAAGCCCGCCGGAAAGCCAGGACAAAAGGGCGGTTCACACGAAACGACTGAACGCTTCAGTGGCCACTGGCCTTGGACTCGAGAGCCTGGGACGAGCGCTTGGAACAAAGGCCACGCTCGTTCCAGCCCACCGCCCGCTCGGGAATGGGGTCTCGGATCCCGCTACGAGACACTTCTGTTCTGTTGAAATATCCAGACGTGCAAAGCTTGCGGGCGAGTGGGTCAACTGGACGCAGAAGGCGAACGTCGAAAGCACACTGCGAGGCTCGGAAGATTGGGGGCCTTCCTATTTGCCGAAGAGCAGCGCGTGCACTCCAGCGCGGTGACTGTGGGCCCAAATATTGGCACAAATATTGAATTGATTCTAATATTAGGTCGTCATGGGGTGAAACCCACTACCACTTTGGGCCGATGAAGATGCCCATCTTTGGACAATGATGATACAGGGCCATTTTTATGCAACATTAATTTGTCCAATAAAACTCTACCACTAACCTCTAGCCCTAACTCATATTACGCCATGATTTCAAACCTGGTACCGAGTAATGCTCCAGCCGGGGCTTAGAGGGAGACGAACAGAGAATTTATGCTCGTCGAAATTTTTATTTGAACAGGAATTATGAGAGCAGAACAACCCAAAACACAATTTGCGGCTCGATTTCTTTTTTTTTTTTTTTTATGGTCACATGCTGTTCCATCTAGCGTACCAATTATATTCAAAGTCGTGGGTTATCTAAGGCATACCTTCATTATTAAAGGGAAGCTGAAGCGGTTCTGTATTTGAGTAAACACACTTAAATCGTCTTCATTCACCCACCAGGGTCAAGAATATCACGATTATTATTATTATTATTTTTTCTTCAATTTGGTGCATGGAGGCTGCAGAGGATAATGTTCCAAGTACCGCTGCAGCCCTTCCTTCCCGGAGCGTGACGTCATATACAGAGTTTTCGGAATCTCCGTTCTCGCGCATCTTCAGCGCCTGTCGAAGCTATGCACGCGCACTATTCCTATTTCCAAAAGGTCAGAAAGAGACGTCACGACTGGTGTCGGTGCTTGCAACTGCACGCTCTGCCCACACGAGCGACACGCGCTTGGCGGCCCCAAGATCCGAGTATGACGTCACGACTGATCGGAAGTTTTTCGTGCTTTCTCGCGTTTAGTTACATCTTCGAGGAAAACAAACGTGATATTCAGATTCACAGGATAAAAATACTCTAGAATTCACTTCTAACTCGTTTTTTTTTTTCTTTTCAAGATATATATATATATGACATCTTGGGGCTAAGTAGGCTGTTGGCGTATTTTTATGTATATATGAAAGCCGTTTCTTGTGGCTCCCAAGAATATCAGGTTTATTGCGAGAAAAAATCTTTATTGAGTTGAATAAGAAACGAAGGAAAGGGAGAGAGATCTCCAGCGGCCTTGGACTTCAATCGACGGACTCGTTGCCAGCAGTAGCTGTGGGCTTATGTCCTCGCTGCGGCCTCCCCATCGCGGCGTCGTCGGGTTCGTGAACGGCACTGGTCCCGGGATGTTGTGGCGTCGCTCGCAGCCGCAGTGCGCACATGCGGGACACGGCTGGGACGACGGTTCGTTGGGTCGGTCCAGCGTTGGTAGAATCAGACCGGCTGGACTCTTCGTGTCAGGTTCTCTCGAGGGGGTCTTGTGCAGCAGAGGGAATCGCCGCCTGGCGAGTCGAATGCCATTCAGTCGTACGGAGTAGCTTTTTTTAATTTTTAGAAACCTTTTTTTTTTTATTTGAGTTAAAGTTTTCCGCTCTTGTTTTTGGTGAAAAAAAAAAAAAAACGTCAACAAATTAGGATAAATCCTTTACATAAATGAGTAACGTTGCAATTACTCCCGAAAATATGCGAAGATTCCGTTACAAAAGTACCGATAAATGTAGGCGCTCGTTCGATCAAGTTTCTCGCTTCATCCGTGTCCCGTTGAGCTGTATGAATAAGATAGCACTACCTGTCTGGGCCCCAAGAAAAAGCCCGAAGAGACATTCTTTCCTTCCAGGCTCTGCTTCCTGACCAATGAGAAATAATCTACTTCGAGAATCCCTACACGCAACACTGCGCGTGTTGCATTATGGTACTTATTTAGCCACGGAGAGGAGGAAGGCCCCGTTGACGAAGTCCGAGCACTGCGTGAAAATTCAGTCAGCGCTCGCTTGCATTGCAACCATTGGAAACACAGACCTGCAGCAGGGGCCGTAGGAACCTGCCTCGACTCGGCGAGGTGGAGGAGTACCACCGGTCGTGTCTATTTTCTGGCGGCCTAGGTACCACTCCCGGCCCATGAATCATTTAAGAAGGGGCATTGAGGAGACCATGGAACAAGATGAGCGTCCCAGTATACTTCATCTTCCATGCGCTATGGTAGTCCTGTCTTTATCCTCGCACAAACACTGGCGCGTCGGAAACCCCAAGAACGTTCCCCGGCATTCTATTCGTGTTGGTAGGCCACACCTACAGTAATGTCACATATTCGAAAATGCAAACACTGTATTTGGTCGTGACGGTATGTCGTGGAGCGATGTTGGCAAAGCGAAACCTCGTGCGAAGGTGGTTTGGTCGCCATCTTCAATATTGCGAGTGGTCTATCCAAGGCCATTGAACGGGGGAGGTGTATGAGGCAGTTGTCACGAGCGAGTGCTCCGCCGCCATGCGCTTCCAATGGGATCGAGACGAGGCCTCGCGCTTTGTCAGACGCTACTTGGAAATACATATCAAGGGACCTTCCTTCCTTCCATGTTCCTCGATCAAATTCACGCCTTTCTTCCCAGTACCGACAATCATTGTTGTGAAAACGGGCGAAACAGGCGCTTGGAGCTATGCCGCCATTTGTTTCTAAAAGCCGCACGAGCCCTCGTGCATTGGCGACGTCGACAAACAAGACCCATCCAGGGACTTTCCTTGCAGGTGCCAAGAACCATGAGGTGGCAGCCCCTGCCGGTGCTCGTCCTAGCTGCTCTACTCGTGCACGTGAGTCGGCAGAAACTTCTCCCTTCAAAGGGTACAGTGGAATTTATTTACCCTTAATGCACGAAGGGAGGTAAGATGGCAATGAAATCAACTAAGGGTGCACTTAGTAAAAGTTCCTTCGAAAAAAAAAAAACATCACAAATGGCAGCCATTGAAGAGGGAAGATGGTTCCAGTCATGTGGTCTTTGAGGTATAAATGAGACGTCGAATCTGTGAGTGTGAACGCTTGGTATACCAAGCTTATAGACCTTCTACTGGTTGGAGCTGAGCTAGTTGGTTTACATTCTTGGGTGGTGCCAGCTGAACACTATTAGAAACAGGAATTTACAACCAGGGTTTGTAAATTCCTGTGTCTGATAGTCCTCAGCTGGCACCACCCAAGATTATAGACCTTTTCACCTCAGTATTTACTTGACCGGTTGACAGAGGGCGCTGAAATACCCGGCGCCATAAGGTCTGAAGTACGCAGCTGTAGCCTTGGTTATTGTAAGGCACTTTCCACGTCTGAGCGAGAGAAGAGGTGAAAGGGAGATGAAAAATAATGGACGGGAAGAAGAGAAACCAGAAGAAGGAGAGGGTGCGAAGGGATGTCGCACGCTATCTTCCGCTGATATATGTGCCAACGGACGGAGTCTTGCCGGCCTAAAACGTTGGGTATTCTGAATGATCGAAGTACCGTCATCGCTTGATCATGCCGCGGGCGCTCCTATTGGATGCCGGCGATGCGTCGCCAATTTTAGCTCATGGCGCATCCCACATCCAAACGGGCACGCTTCTATTGGTCTGCTGTGGCTGCCGGTTAGTGTAGATGCCGGCGCCGCGCCGCCGCGCCAAACTAGATTGGCGGCAACGCTCCGCCATTTTTGGCTCAAGTGCGTCCCAGCAAGCACCCGCTTGGCGGTACTTGTTTGTAAAATTGATCCAGCGCTTTATGCGGCCAATTAGCCGCCTGGGTTGCCGTCTACATAGCCTGCTCGTTGCCGCTTGCATTGCCTGCTTCGCAGCCCGGTATCTCCCCCCCACCCCTTTCCTCCCTCCCGACCCGCTTCTCGCCCTTCCCCCGAGCATTCGCACCGCTTTCGCGATTTTCGCCCAGCTTGTTCTGCAGTGGGCGAGAGGCGAGGATCGATGCAAGTTCTTTTTATTCACAGTTTATTACGGGCGCAAATGCAGGAAACAAAATTACTATTATGTACACAACCTTTTGTAGAATACAGAGAAGTCAAATAGATAGCATGTAAAACAAAAAAAGTCACAGGACAACATGGGAGAAACCAACAAAGAAAGGCACAACACCAGTTATAAGACACATATGTAAAAAAAGACATTCCAGTGAACATTTTTCAGTAGTTATGCATATCATCCTCTGAATGCTTTGCTGTGAAAACGCCAAATATAGACATAATATGTATATATATATATATATATATATAAAAGAGGGAAAAATTGCGCGGGCGCCATACCACAGCCGCTAGCCTTGTGTTTCTTACTCTGTCCTCGTCTTTTGTGCGCTTTTAAAACCAAGATGAATAACTACCAACTAGCCCAACTTTCCACCCTACTCCACCCTACTGCTAGCCTTGTACCTGCTCCACGAGTGGTAACTTTAGTGCACTACAAAGCTTCTCACGCGCTCAAAGTCTTTATGAAAATCACTGATTTAGGGGTTTGGGATGTTGCTCAGCAAGTTTCTAATTGGAACCATATGTCCATTTCCACCAATTAAAAACAGTTAATTAACGAATTTTAATTAATTACCCGACTTGTCCCAAAGATTAGCCACCCACATAATGTCTGCCTGGCCGTATAACCCACCTGCAAAAGCCGCATTAGTGTGGCTGTTACACATTTTTGAAAACCGGAGACGACGGACGAAGAAGGGGACAACACACAAAACGTCTCAATCGGGTCTTCAAACTCTGAGATTGCTAAACACGTACAGGAGTGCAATAATTGTCTGCCGGAGTGGGGGTCTACTGTTGTTTTGAGCAAAGAAAAAGATTGCGCAAAAAGAGTTTTGAAAGAGACAATTAGAATCACGACTGTAGGAAACTGTATCAGTCAGCCATCAATCGCATTAGACGAAGCGACCCGAAAATTTTTGCTGTTGTAAATTTTTTTTTTTTTTATTTTTTTTTGTATGTTTTAATGCGGCGTGCTTGTGCGTGGTACGAGATGCGAGTTAGGCCTTGCAGCTTGTGTGAAGGTGTGTGCGTTGGGTCCGACCTTCGGGGGTTGCGACAATGAAGGGAGTTCGGAGATTTGAATTGTTATCAGACTAGTCGAAGCGACCCAAAAAGTTTTGTGTTGTTAACAATTTTTTTTTTTTTTGCCAGTTAGGTTACGTGGGGTGTGAAGGTGTGGTTCCTTGGGTCCGACTTTAGCGGGTGTGATGATGGTGCTTGTATTGCAATGCTTTGTACAAACTAAGTGAGGTGATAAGAGAGAGAGAGAAAAAAAAAAAAAAAAAAGGTCAAGACGAGATGTACCCTGGCTAAAAGTTGGTGTGACGTGGGAAGTTCCGGAAGACGTGTGGGAGAGATGCTATATAAACGACTGTTCAAATAAAATTTAGTAGCTGCGTTTGAGACGTTTTGTGTGTTGTCCCCTTCTTCGTCCGTCGTCTCCGGTTTTCAAAAATGTGTAACATCAACCAGCTCGCCTGCCTACTTACTTTATCTTTAGTGTGGCTGTCACGTTTTTTTTTAAACAAATGTGTCAGAATAAAAAAAAGACCCTATATATATATATATATATATATATATATATATATATATATATATATATATATTCTTGTAAACATGCACTCGTATCATATAAGCACGAACTTCACGCTTTTTGTGCCTTCCTCGCAGCAGCAGATCTTTTGAGGTTCTTTTTGGAGACCCGTTCACTAGGCGCAGATGCCATTGGAAACGTGTATGGCATTCGAAGACTCATTCTGACAGTCTGGTGAATACAGAACGCCTTCCGAATGCTCTGCCATGAAAGCACAGACATTCTGCAGCACATCTTCTCTGAAGGCTCCAATACATAGCAGAAAGTTCTCCTCCAGTTATTCGACCAGTTCAAGGCAGGTGGCTGCCGGCACAGAGATGGCGCCGAGAGTTGTACCTGCCATGTCCCCTTGTGCACGTGCCAAAAACTGCTGCTCTGAGCGAAGCCATTCATCCCTTCAAGAAGTCAGGGCAGGTGGCACAGGGGTCAGGGGTCCCCGGCATATCATTCCAAACCTTCACCGAAGAAGTTTTCGAAAGCAAATTTTCTCTCCTAATACAACCATGCGCGTTGCCGGTATTATAGGGACTTTAGCAAACCGTTTTACCGTACATCCCGCGTACCACACTATACCGGACCCTTTGAAGCATGCCTTCAAGCGCGCGCCCGGGTGATGCCGTGACCTCGGGGCACCCGCTTAAAAGCATGCTTCAAAGGGGCCGGCAGTGCTGTACGCGGAACACGGTAACGGTTTGGTAAAAATCCCAATTTATTGAATCGTTACTCAATTACTGTTACTCTTATTTAAACTTATTTAACGGTACAAGAGGCCGCAGCTAAGGGTTCGTGACGTGGACAGAAGGCACAGCGCTATTTTTCGGGCGATTTTTCTTCCGAGATGTTGCATTCGAAAATGGGTCCTTTTAAAAGTGATTCTAGCAGAGATCCCCGTTCTTGTGGGCGTGATCGTTTGCCAGGTTAGCGTAAGAGGCCCACTTGTTATGCCTGATATAAAACAGTTGATCACTTTCGGATATGTTTTGAACGAACGTAACCGAAACGAAACTGCCTCTCGCACTGGAAATCCTTTGGGAAATGGAAGCACGACAAGTCCTTTGTCCTTTGACCAGCCGGAGTTCTTGCACAATTTCGCCGCGCAACATCGCTAACGCATCCTTTTGTGAGAACACCCGAGCGCACGACGTCAAATTTCTGCTCGCCAATCAGACACCACTTTCCGCAGATCGATCTCTTCGAGCAGACGACCGGCGCCCGGAACCACTGTGCGGTACCAGTTTACGTTACTACCAGCCAGGGATGGGCAAAATACATGCAAATATGTATCGAAATACAAATACAAAATACTTCGTCAAAAATGTATTTAATTACAAATCTAATTACATTTCCAAAAAAAGCATTTAAATACAAGATACAAATACAACCAAATGTATTTGGTCTACTCCAAATACTTTTCCAAATACATTCCTCAAAATTTCCGTCAGCGACTTCAAGGCACCTGCAACTGGTTTCTGGGTATCTCATTTTAATTTTGCATCGCACACTCGGGAGTTAGTGTGCGAGGCTCTAGTAACGTAATAGAAATATAATCACAAAAAAATGTACTCACCTTGGACGTATAATAATAGGTAAAAAAAGTACAGAGCTTCAAGCAGCTTTTTTTGCCGATTACATTTTGGTATAGACCAACAGAGAACCGAGACGACCAAGACGCGCAGCACTAGCTAGAAATTTTTTTATTTGTTGCAACTCGCACTAATTACGAAAATCTGGACGATCCGGGAATTTAGAATGTTCCAGGCAAAAATATGGATGGAAATCAGGCTGGAAAGCATCACAAGTTGTCACAGGCACTTATTTAACCTGCAGTCTGCCTGTGAACGTCGATTTCGTCACTATTCTTGCCCTGGACTGGCACCGTAATTGCGTGGACTAGCACCGAAAAAAAGCCCGTGCGTCCACTTCCCCGCACAACACTCGGAGAGCCAATCACCGCAACTTACGGAGGCAGCTCAGCGAATGACGATGCCGAAACATATGTTTAGACCGAAAAACGCAGTCTGAGTTGTGACATTAAGGCAACGCAAAACGTCACGCTTGCATTCTTTATGTCACAACGCAGACTGCGTTTTTTTTGGTCTAACTTAGTACTAAAAAATATTTCTGAAAATATTTAAAAAATACCTTTACTTAAACTACATTTGAAGTTCCCTTCATGCGTTCTGACATATGTAAATACTAAATTAGTAGGCCCAAAATACCTTTCACAGAGATTTCTTTAAAACATGTATTTATTTCATGCAAAATATACTCCAACCCTAATAAAGATGCAGCGATAAAAAATATGTGCAGAATACTCTTAAAATACCTGGAAATCCTAAATACTGTATTGAAAAGCTCGCCTACCAGAAGTTCATTTCAAGCAGATACGGAGTACACTGAAGTGCCTAAATACAACATTTGATTTGTTTGTCAATTGAGTTGTGCAGCATCGCACTGGTAAATCAGTCCAGTTTATGTTATTGTTTCCTTTCTTCTACCAAGAACAGACCTGATGAGTTCCTTGCGCACCAATCACAAACGGGGTTCGGGAACTACAACCACAACACTTGCTGATACTGGAAAGTTTCAGCAAGTGCTGTGAGCAGATATTCTTGGCGTGTAATTCTGTTAGCACAATGTTAGTGCACTGAATGCGTATACTCACCATTGTACGTGATGTGAGCAGTGACTTTAATATAGTGACGTTAATGACCATATTAAATAGTCAACTAGTAAAGAAAAGCAAAATAACTATTTTAAAGTGAAGAAACTAGCTTCACTCGCTTCATCCTGGGTGGTGCTACGCAGAGAAACAATAAAATTTTTTCTAGGAGCCGTTTTTAGGGATATTGTTTTAGCGACTGCGCCCAATTATTATTAGCTGTATTAATGCTTGCAGTAAGAGAAATCGTCCATGAACTTCAAAACACTGTTTCCCCTTTGACAGACTCCCGAGGAGAATATCGAATACTTGGAACCTTAATAAGTGCAGGGCTGGTCACCGGCCAAATGATTACCTTAAATATGTAGGCTATATAAGGCTCTAGAGCAGTCGACGGAACTGTCAATCAAGTGTTCAGTGCGTCATGGTGTTTGTGCTCGTTTCTAATGGTTAGTTGTGGGATGTATTTAGTAGTACCTTCAGATACCGCAAGGACACAGTTACTAACAAAATCCCCCCAAAAATGAGTAGCTGGTGTAGCTGTGTAGCTATAGAATATCCATTTTGTATTCATTCTGTATTATTTTGTCCCCATTCGAAATACGTGAGAAAGGTATTCAAAATATATCATAAATATTCATAAAAAAAATTAGATATACAAAAAATATAATTCCTTTCCCCTCTCAATACATTTGTGCACTAAAAATGCACAAACGGCATCTTGAGGGGCAAGGAATTATATTTTTGGTATATCTAAATTTTTTTTCTGAATAATATGTATGATATATTTTGAATACCTTTCGCACGTATTTCGAATGCGGATAAAATAATACAGAATGAATACAAAATGAATATTCGTATTCAATATATTTCAAGTTCGTTTCAAGTACGGCCTCTTTTTGCTAAGGAGGGGCTTACCTACAATTTTCCTATTTGAGATTAGAATTCATTACTAAACACGTTTGCTGGTCTTATCATCCATGCTCAAAGAAGGGTCTTCTTCCATATGATTCATCGCACTCTAAGCTGGTCAAGAGAAGCATTGCCTCGTCTTGCCTACAAGCTGCACTCGAGAAGTCATGTCATCATGTCGTTAACGATAGTTTTTCCCGGCAGGTTGAGAGACCTGACCGTGGCAGGCTTCCCAACTTCGGTTTTATTGAGCGTTGCGGAGGGTTTGCTAAAGAAACTCAAGGGGGAACCCCGTCCCCAGAGGGAAAGGCCAAATAAGAGACCGCTCGTAATACCGAATCTCCATAAAATTTCACACAACTTGAAAAAAGTTGCCTTGAGATACGATGTGCCATTGGTGTTTTCTGCTCCGTGTAAGCTGGCGCAACTATGTGCAAGAGTTGCCGATAAGAAGGACAAAGGCCCCGCTTGCTCGGTGAAGCGTAAGAATCAATATGTTGTTTGCAAAATGGGAGTTGTTTACACGATTCCACTAACGTGTGGGGAAGCCTACGTCGGTCAGACGGGCAGATGTGTTGATCACAGACTGCGGGAGCATGACTTGTCGGTTCGACCTGTGGTGGGAGCTGTAGGGGGGCATTTGCCATTGCACTGTCATGGATGTGGGTGCAAACCTATCTTCAGTAAGACTGGTATCATTGGCAAATGAAGGGACAGAATGGTTAGAGAAATTTTAGAGGCGCATGCAATTATCAAAGCAGGCGCGAACTGCGTAAGTCAAACGTCACTGGGCCTGAGTAGCAAAGAGATTGTTTTTTTGGACACGTGGTGAATGTATCATGTGACGTGGGCGGAGTTGCTGTTTTCTTTGTTTTGTTTTCATGTGATTAAATTTCAGTTGAGAGTCCGCGCTTGTCCTGTTTGCACTTCCTTTAGTCCCCGTTTACTGTGCGCTGCAGGCACGTAGCCAGGATTTTGTTTCAGGGCGGGGGGGGGGGGGGGGGGGGGGGGCCGCCCATGACAAAATGCTGTATGAGGGGGAGGGGGGGCCCGGGCCCCATGGGCCGCCCCCCTGGCTACGTGCCTGGTGCGCTGTTTGCCTTTTCGTCAGTATGAACCAATTAACCCACATCGACACCCTGGCAACAGCTCTCGCTCTCCCCTCAATGGATTTCAACAATTGAAATCTTCATCTTTTTACGTGCTCGCGCGATCGAACACATCATTTCTGCCTGCCTGTATCGTAAGGTGCGTGTTTTGTTTTTGTTATTGTTTGTCATGTCCCTACTTCAAACCAAACGAAAAAAAAAAAAAAAAACAATAAACATAAACGTTCGTTTCGTACGGCGCGCCCCAAAAAATAATATCCTTGAAAAGGCAAAGAAACAAAGGCTCGTGTTCACTCGTGCTTCTCACCAGCATTTCTATACGACCAACCGCCAGGATCGCGACATGCAACAGCACGACACTCCGGCTTCTGTGACGTCATTTGTTGCCACTTGGGGACCACATTTGTGTATGGGCGGGATAGGACGCTAAACACACCAGTCGGAGACGCGCATGCACCATAATACCATAATGCGGGCACGTCTGCGTCCGCGCGCGCGTTCGTCGTGCGTCGGGTTATCGCGCTCAGAAAAACGCTCCAGGCGGGTCACGCTTAACCCTAACTTAATAACATTTCAGCTCAGGTAAGTGCAACTTAATTACTTTTCATGAGTAACTTGTACAGCTCTGGCCCGCAGTCATCGGATCGTTGTTTCCTGTGCATCGCGTGTTACATCTATGCTCGCGACTGAGCGGCACTATGATAATAGCATGATGCAACCGCAAACGTTTCAACTCGTGTAGCCAGGAACAAATGCTTGTCTTTCACAACCAAGGAGCAAGGTCCAGAGAACTCACGCCCTTTCGTTCTTTTCTTAATTTTTAATCATGGTATTATTTATAGTCGCTGACAGGTTAAAAGTTTAGGGTTCGATTCCCCACCGCCCCCGCCCGTTTCGATCTGGATGAGTTTCGTACCGGCACTCGTTCGTGTAATCACTACTGCGTGATGCACGTTAAAAACCCCAGGTTAGCGGTTGTACTGCACTGGCTTAATTTCTCATCTACAGCTAAGAGACCGATTACCCGTTGTGGTGCATCTCCATCAAAGCTGTATAAACATAGAGAAAAACCAAGTTTCGTTTTTATTATTATTTAAAGTTCAGGGGACACTCCTTGCACCTCTTTCCAGGCTTTAGCAGAGCGAACACTGGACAGGAGGCGACCTCCCTTCCAGCATTCACTCGGCTGTGCTGCAGTGGAAAGGGGTGAGCTTCCCCTGAGAATGTTGGCCCCGCATAGCGAAAACGACCTTCAGCCCAGGCACCGGCGGGCTGATGCAACCGGACACGCCAGCGGGGGAGAGCGAGCCACGGAGAAGAACGTGACACCTGGAACAGAACAGACGGGGCGCGGTCGCAGACCAAACAAGACGCTTCTCAACCGATTGTATCCTAAAAGTTCAATACTTACATCCTGCATTATCCCAAATTAACCGGTACATCACAGTCGCTCGTTCTTATCTCGGGATAAAGGGCATGACATAAACCCCGAGACTGCAGGCAAAAAACGACACGAACACTAAAAGGTCTCGATTGATCGTGCCGTTCTTTGCCTGCAGTGTCGGGGTTCATGTCATGTTCAGTCTAAACCAGCTCCTTTGCGCCCTTCCATTCACTTCATAGAGGGCAGTTGTATTTCACCCACCAGCTCCTCAGCCTAACACGAAACTTGGGGGCGTCGTAAACAAACCTCGAACATCCTTCAAGATGACATCCGCTGCCCAGTGTGCCACGCAGATCGGGCTCTTTGATGCGATAGCATTCTTTAGCACCCCCCTTCGATTTCGTGGACTTTTCCGGCCCCCTAATGCGCAGTATATAGGTTTCCCCGCTAACTTTAGCAGAGAAATTCACGTTATGGGTGACCTGCACCAGTTCACCCTCCCTGCTAAATATAGCGGAAAAGTTTTCGTCGCGTGACCTATTCACCAATTTAGTTTCCCCGCTAAATTTAACGGAAAAGTTTGCGTCACGCGACCTATGCACAAATTCAGTTCCCCTTCTAACTTTGGTGGGAAAACGTTTACCGGTCCTAGACGCCGGCCTTGACGTCGTCCATGGGCTTGTAAGAAAAGATGGGCACGACGAATGCTCTGGCAATTCAGAGACAACCAACAATAATGAATTCTGCAGTTTTTTTTTTTTTTTTTTCTCTTTCGAAAGGAGTCTTAGCACAGCGCAAGGTCTTTCTAAAATCTCCAACGTGGTGGTTTCTTTTTGTGCTACCACATGAGCATCGTATGCAACTGTGGCATAAGGAAGGGACCGGAAGTCTCTTGAGAGAGGCTGCTTCCAAAGACGATAGCCCCCGTGGAATGGCTCGCGCAGGCGGCAAGCCGGAGGGCGGTGAGCCGGAGGGCGGCGAGCCAGTCTGCGCATGAGCCCGTGGACGACGCCTTCCTGCCCCGGCTGCCGGCCGACATGGCCAAGCTGGTCAAGGTGGCCGTCCGCTGCACCCGGGCCGCCCTCAACGTCCGCCTCGAGTTCGACCACCCGTTCCGGGGCCTCGTCTACTCGAAGGTCAGTGGCCCTCCTGCGAACCCTCACCTGAACGAGCCAAGCTCACAAATTCGCCCGCTTTTCGGCACACTGCAGGAAAACTCATATCCGAGATGCAATCCATGGAACAATTGCCGAGAAGGGATGCGTCGAAACGTGTGTTTAAAAATTTGGCCCCTAATATCTCACGTTTCATTTACGAATTACGATTAGAGAATGCTCCCAGCTAAGAATATTAATCAGTTTTTAAGATGCGTTCCCATGAAGGCCTGCAGTGGGGACAGGTTATTTATAACGTGACCTTCAGGCTCGCTAACCAAGTTTTGGTCTTGAAACTTGAATACGCTCCAGATGAAGAGTGACCCAAGTTCCTTGTAATTATGGGCCCCCGTTCAAGCTGATGTGATTCGTGCAATCCGAGAAGTAGCTGTCCATCATCCTGGCGGATGTTCCTTGGGCCTGCACTCTGTCCCGTCTTGTCCGTGGCCTGTAGTCCCCTTGACATTTCAGCTATTGTTCTGGGGTCATTTGACGCTTTACTGACGCACTGTGCAGGTGAAGTCCTCAGCTGCTAACGGCACTACCGAACGTCGGGCACACGTATACGTGCCATTGGACTGATATGCTCGCTTTCGAGATCCTGGTTGCGCATTTATTACAGTTGTCCACAGGTCGGAGCTTCTATGGGGGTCAAGAGCGAGCTATGTGAGGACATTCCCAATGGGCAGTCACGGCGCTAGCAGCGAAATGTCACGATTCTATCGCATATTTGTAGTTGAGCATTCTCTGCAACCTACCCGGTGAACCTTTCTGAATTAGCTTTTCTTCGTCGTCTAGACATGCAAATGTGTTATGCGGGCTTCCCCTTTGAAGGGTACAACGTAGAAACACAGTTGGTCTGTGGGTTCATAGAATGACTTGTTTTATTGGCATTTTGCCATCACACTTTGCCCGTCGGCCAAACAAAGAAAAGACTAAAAGGCTCAGCGCAGTCGTATCAGACAGATTCACCTGGAGGGGCCCCCGCTACCGTACTAGGCATATTCGTGGGAAGTGGGGAGCTGCAAAATGGAAGAGGCTCCGAGGACCAGAGCCTCCGCCAACGAGAGAGTCTCCGGCACCCCCCCTCTACCCCCCCCCCCCCCCCCCCAAACGAGAGAGTCTCCAGCTCCCCCCCTTCCCTCCCCCCTCTCTCGGGGGTTTCGGGCCGGCTTATAGAGCCAGCGGGAAGTGGACGTGCACGGGGTAGGTGGCGTGGCTTAGCACGCAGATGGGTCGCGTCCAAGATCACTCCCAAGGGTGTGCCAGTGGCAGATTCACCCAGAAGGGCGAGGGAGACACCGCCCTCTTTGAAGAATGCTGCCTCGCCTCGTGTCAGGGAGCCACCACCGTGGCGGTCCCCGCAGCCTGCATGTCCTAGGCCTAGATAGGGAGGCGGGGAACACGTGGTTCCCACAACGGGTCGGCTTTCTGAAAAGAACGAGTCAAAATATCAGAAACCATTGCCAAGTCCAGGTATTCACGTGCACTAGCTTAACTCAGCTTTCCGTGAAATTGCTTCCATTGATGTTTCCAAATCTCGTTTCGCGTGAGTCGATCCAGGGTCACAATACTTAGGTCTACTACGTGTAGAAAAGTAAATGCGGAAGCTAGCGTTTTCGCCGTCCATCAATGGTACGGGGAGTGCCTGCTCTTCCCCGAGGGGTCGTCCACAATTTCCGAGCCAATCGCACGTCTCGGCGATTCTCCCAAGGGCCACTTCGGCGATCCAGAGTGCCGCCACGTTCACGGGGACAGCACTCCGGGAGCGGCCGAGTCGAGGCGAACGTTCGAGTTCGCGGTTCGGGCGGACCGCTGCGGGTCGACCAAGGTGGAGCGGAAGCCCAGGGAAGGAGATTCCTACCTCGAGAACACCATCGTGGTGCAGAGCGAACTGGGCATTCAGGTGAGCCATTCCTCACGAAATCGGCTGCAACAAGCAGCTGCCGTCCTCGTCCGAGGTGGTTTGTACACACGAGGACTAAGGAGAGGTACGGGGTGCGGCCCAGGACTGGTCTGACTCGGCGCGGCGCCTCCGCTGTTCGTGGGACAGCAACACGGAGCGCACGGTGAGCTCGTCCATCAGCGTGGACCAGCTGGACGTGATAGCGGCCCGGTACGCGGGCTCCTCGGCCGCCGACTCCTACATGGACGTCCAGCACGGCCGCGGACCCTTCTCGGCGCCGGTCACGGGCCTCGTGAAGATCGGCGAGACGCTCACGCTGGTCGTGTACGCGCTCGGCTCCGACGTGCACGTCAAGGACTGTCTGGCTCACGACGGTGACCTGGGCCACACCGTGCAGCTAACCGACGCCCACGGCTGCGTGGCCAAGCCCAAGCTGCTGGGGCCCTGGCAGAAAACGACCAAGACCGGCGCCACGGGGGCCAGCACCATCGCGTTCGCCTACCTGAAGGCCTTCAAATTCCCGGACAAGGTATCGTGACCCTGATCGCGCACTCTCTGCTTCGACTTGCCTCCGGGCAGCGGATAAAGCGGGAGATACACGCTCTCAACCAGGGTCCAAATGCTCTCGGAGGCTTCGTGAATTAGCACAGAACGTCGTTCGTCCATGCACTATTGCTCAGAGGATCGGAAAATGATAATTAATACAACGTTTTAGGATTATGTTACGGTAATACCGACGTCACAACGGGGCGGGGAACAACCAGATTTGTGCGGTATCCGTTACAAGTAAGGAAGCGTGTTTTCGGAATTAATTTTTCTTTGAATTCGTGTTTTTTCGGGATTTGATTTTCCCACAGATTCGGTGCTTTTCGGTGTCGGAAAAACTTGGGTGTTTATCAGGGCTTACGTTGAAAAAAACAAGAACCGTGATTCTCCTCTGAAGGGACCGTGACACGAATACTTGAAAAAACGTCCCGGTAGCGATAAGAAAAAGAAACATGGGGTTCCGAAGATTGCCTCGCGGACAGTTGAGTTCCCCGTCAAACTTGGTTTTTCCTTATCAAGGACAGCTCTAATTCCCGCTTCTTACGTTTCCCCCGATTTGAATAAAACCGGCTCGGGGGTTAACTTTCAGGGTTTATCGGTATTTACCGAAAACACGGAGCGAACGCAGGAGTGGAGGTCGTCTCCTCTCCAGAGTTCGCTTTGCCCAAGTGGAAAGAGCTGGGAGGGACTTCCTGGCCATGACGTCACGAAAGGAAACCATAAGAGGGCGCCACTGACACATATCAGTCCAGAGAACACAGGTATTCCAAGCGGAGTGGGGAGTCAGAAACGGAAGTAAAAAGAAAATGGGACACTTTTATAACATGTCGCCGAGAGGCATCCAGTTTGATCAATGCGAAAATTCAGAAAAAGGGTGAGGAATGGATGAGTAATGGTAAGTAAGAAAGATAGAAACGCAGCCAAGAAGTTTTGGGAGTACTTGAACTCACTCGGTGAAAGGACGCAAGCTAGACAGAGGTTCATACTCTCGCATCAGGGAGATCAATTAGAGGGAGATGATGCGATGCGATATATACGAGCAGTCACGTGACGCATATTTTCCCGCTATTTAACGGGGAAACTGAGTGGTTGTATGTGTCACCTGACGTCAGCCCACGTGACGTCGATTTCCCCCGCTAAATGTAGCGGGGAAAGTGGATTAGTGTCTATAGGCCGTTGTATAGGGAGTAGCGCCATTTTGAATACTGTAGCGCCATCTAGCGAGCGTCAGGTTCCGTGGCCATGCTGAGTGGTTAGAATCGTTGGGGAAAGTGCTCTTTGGGGCGCCGCTCTCCCGTTGGGTGCTCCAAGTACTGGTATCTCACTTGGGGCGCGTCTTGTGTTCTTGACTTCGTGAGTTCCGCGGATGATATTTTACAATTCATTGGGAACGTTTTTTGCCCCCCATTATGGCATCAGCCAGTGCGGCGATGCCAAGAAGAGCGACACTGAACGCGCGACCGATAGAAATCGGAGGCGACTGCTCAAAATATTGTATCAGCTTACAGCGATTAAATTTCCCTTCAGGTTTTTTTGTCGTTTTAGATGTATTTGGCGTTTTGCGTCGTCCACAACAATTAATAATAAGGACGCGCGAAATGAGAGCCTAGCAGGGAACGTTCGAAGGCAGTTCCCTCCGGCTTGCAGATGTTTCTAAAAGTTTCGATTGAGGATCCCGTGTCGACGAGCGTTTCCTTTGTCTGGAACTGAAAACAGCCAACTCGAGATGGGTTCCATTGCCGGAGCGAGTCGATCAATGATTCAACAATTCGAAATCGATGAATGAGCATGTTTCAGCTATGGAGATTGAAGTTTTAAGGCGAAAGCCGTATAATGTCTCATCGTTCCGTCAACCTTCAAAGACCTTGAGCGAAAACACGTTGGCGACACGGAAAGTACCATAACGAAAGGTAGCAATGAAACGTCCCAAAAAGTGCGTCGTCAGAGGGTGCGCTGTCTTCGGAGGTTCGCTATCAGGTTTACATCGGTGCTTGGGCCTCAAGTCGTTTTAGGGATAACATAAGAGTTCCTGTGAATTTTTCTTTCCAGCTAGGTTATGTACTAATTTGCAAAAAAGAACGACCCAGTCGCGTTGTGACGAACAACGTAAGTTCACGGCTCTCTGCTATCGCGCAAGAGAACGCTATTAAGAAAAAACGATAGAACTAACTTTTTGACAATTTCCAGCTGCACCCGGCGGCGGAAATGAGCCTTCAACTAAGCGCCGTATCACGATAAAATCGAGTCAGTGTGTCCACTGCAAGATATCAGCATTAGGATCAATTAAGCTAGGCAAAGTTACAAGGTGCAACAGCTATTCTCACGATAAAACTTGAACCTACCTTGCGAGCGTATAGCCCACGTTCATCGACCGTGTACCGCGGTAAGTTCGGTCCGCGCTCTATTCATGAAATGTTCCGAGCACACGCTCGAGAGGATGGCGTCGGGGAAAAGTCTCCTCTGTTTGCGGATGCAACCCACTGCCGCAGGAGGTTTCGCTCATTTGGAAAGCGATGGAGTTTGAAAACATATGTGAGCCGCAGGTACGTGCCTTGTCGGATCCCGTGCGCAACACAGATGTCCTCCGCGATAATATTCTTCGCTTTGGATTGTTATTCGTGCAGCCCGAAGAATGATGTCCCGATGACCAGGGGATTGTCATCATTGACTCCGCTGCAGTTTCATTTGGAAGTAAAATCAAATAGAGAGAACCGCGAAGAAAACCATCCATCTTGGAGAAACAGACGCTTCCAAGGCGTTCATCCGGGTCTTTGTCTCGTTCCTAACCATTCGCTGCTCGACGAGAGTGGCCGTAAAGCGGCACACGCGTCCATCTTGACGTCACCAGGTGATAGCATCGCGTTCCTTGCAAGACTCTGCAAGACGCTCTAGCGTCGACTCTGACCTGATTGGGTGAGGCATGCCTACGTGCGCTCTTGCTATTTTTCAGTAAAATGCGCTAGAGTCGGTGACAGGTAAGAGGTAAGGGAAACTCCTCTTGAGCAGAGCGAACGCTGGAGAGGAGGCGACCTCCTCTCCGCCGTTCGATCTGCTCAAGTGGAAAGAGGTGGAAGGGGCTTTCACTTTACTCTTAACCTGTCACTAACTATAGGTCATACGGCGTGCATTTTCCCGCTATGTTTAGCGGGGAAACTGAGTTTACGTATAGCTCACGTACCGTCGCGTTCCCCAAGGTGTACGTAACTTCACGTGACGCCAATTTTCCCGCTAAATTTAACGGAAAATGCCCGAACGGACGGACGGACAAATGTTTGGGATTGGGGGGCAACGTTAAAAAGCATTTGATGCTTTAAAACGCCGACTCAACCCCCTTTTCCTCCCGACGAGAGAGTCATTCCTCTGGTCAAACATTGACCGCGCTACCCCTCCACAATACCAGCTGAGAGACATGGTTGAGATTTTGGGCTAGAGTCAGGCGGGGGAGTCCCCAATTTCCTCTTTCCCTTCTGGCAGCCAGCCGTGCTAGTTCGTTCGAATTTCCCTACAAAATTTCCGTCAATCTTCTAACCGTTTCTTTGTGGCTCCTTTTCTACCCCAAACCCTCCATCTTCGCCAGCAAAACCCAGCGCTTCAGCCAAATCCGTGACTCAAACATGCTCACTAGAAAAAATGGATGACTTACTCAGCGGTGAGTGAGTGATTCATTTTTACTGGTGTGCGTGTTCGAGTGTGAATGGGTCTTGTGCCCTGTATATTACAAGTATTACAAATGTTCATCGCTCGCTCTGTGGCATACAGCACATAATCCGTCAATCTTTTAAAATGTAGCAGTCTTTGTCCCCAGACCCGTTCTCGTCAAAACAGCAAAGGACTTCCTCATGAATGATCAAACCCCTTTTCCTTTTTCATGTCTTGTTTTCAGTGTTGGGAAACGCTGAGTATACTCACTATTTTACTCGACTTCAAGTACTGCTTGGTTTTGTGAGCATTGCGGTGAAGTGCGCTTTGAACATGTCGGGCCAGGGTGAGCGCTGCTTGTCGACCTGCAGGTGGAAGTCTACCTGGAGTGCAACATCGAGATGTGCAAGCGTCAGTGCTCCGAGCTGTGCAGCGGCGCCAGGCGGAGCAAGCGGCAGGGCCTCAACGAGTCGTCGGGGCTGGCGGAGCCCGCGAGGGTGACCCGGGGCATTCGGGTGGTGGCCCCCGACGACGCCCCGGAGCACGACGACTGGCGCTCGGGTCGGCTGGCCACGGGCGACGTGTGCATGTCGCTGCCGGGCTTCGTCACTTCCCTGTCGGCCATCCTGGCGCTCTTGCTGGGCTCCTGTCTGGCGTCCGTCTCCTTGTTAGTCAGGGTCCGCCAGCTGGCTGCTTTGCCCACTTCTCCGGCCGCGACCAAGAGCCTGATGGACAGCGACACTGGGCGCAAATGCCGCCATCTTTGAAGGGCTAGAGCACATTCCTCCGCGCTGAGAGACGCAACATCATGCTTTGCTCCCCACCCTGCCACCTTTGCAAGCGGCCTCGCGAATAACGCAGCCCGACACAGAAATCCGCAAGTTGCAGGTATATGGTGTCGCTGCCCACACACCGAAGGAGGCTCCCGAACACCAGCAATCGACGCGGCGCTAGAACGATAGACGGAGTTCAAACACCACCGCGGCAATCAAGACACAGCCTGCAACCTCTCGACTCCGCCGCACCACAGTGCGCTGCACGATCAGAGGAGTGCAACTTCCTATTCCGCCCGTGGAACGTGAATTGGTAAACCCTGGGAGTCCGCAGCGCCATTTGAATCTCCTGGTATCCGGAGGGGCTGTACGAAAATCAACATGGCGGCACAGCGAAACCAAAACCGCACGACAGCGCCATTGTGCTTGGACGAATGAGTGGTAGCTTACGCCACCTAGAGTGAAAAAAAAAAGTATATATATATATATATATATATATATATATATATATATATATATATATATATATATATATATATATATATATATATATATATATATATATTGTAGTTTTTTGGGTTTTTTTTTGCGCGCGGTTTTTGTGTTGCTCTGCTAGGCTTCTGCTGCTTTGCGGCTGGTTTTCGTGTTTCAATGCTAGTTAATGTGCGTTAAAACGCACACAAGCCAGCACTGAAAAGCGAGACCAGCAGCAAAGCAGCAGAAACCTAGCAAAGCAACAAAAGTGACACATACATAAAAAAAATATGCAATACTTGTTCTTTTGCGTTCATTTTAATTCAACAGGCAGTAGAAAAGTTTTCACTAATTTGCACACAAGAATCAAGGAAATGAACAACAAAACAGGATAAAACGTTAAGGTTACGTGCGACGAAGGTGGTGATATGCGTCCTTGCAAAAACACTTCGCTAAATTTACATAAACTCTCTGTAGGTTCGTGATCCTTTTTCGAGCTTCTTGGCGTACACTCACCAGCCTTGCGCCGCTCAGCCACAGGAGTGGAGCCTAGAAGAAAAAAAAAAGTTGAATTACTTGCTTGATTGGCCTTTACGTGCCTGACATGGTGATATGAAAACAGCGAGCATATTCTGTAGCTCCTTTCAAAAAACGGTACTTCAAAAAGTTCAACACAGCGGCACTAAATACTCGTGTCTCCTCCGTTTTTCTTCTCCTTGAGTTAAATGCCTCCACGTTAAATTGACAATCATTTCGAGTTTGATTATATAGGTAAGCGTAAGTAAAGACTGACGACGGTGTCTTGCAACTAAAGGAAACTAAGCAATGAGGTTTAGAAAAACAAGCTCAGCTCTTGGGTATCGAGTCTTAATCGATAACCTGTATTAGTTTTTAATATTATCACTTAAATTTAGGAGTGTGTCACTGCTAAACGAAACGGGAAACCAGTACGGATCGCTCCATCGCTCATCCTCAGTTAATCGAAAAGGCTCATTTTCACACCTCGCGAACAGTCCCGTGAATCACTGACAATTAACAATCCCAAATAAACAGCTCACTGCAAAAAGTTTACCATCCTTTGAAATGAGCATATGTGCTCGATCTTGATATTACATAATAGTCGCCAGTTATTTGACAACGACACATTTCTTGCGGCGAGTGAACAAGAGGAATTCTAAACAATGATAGGATTGGGTTTTGTGATTTGAAACCATCGCAGCTATTGCCGAAATCAAACAATTAATACACACTACACAGCGACAGTTAGGTTCTGCTGCAAACATTTAATCAGAAATTGAAGCAAGTGGAGAAGACCAAAAGAGCGCACCTCACGTCCATTGGAACTCGAAACCATTGGCGTCCCGGCTTTCGGCAATGATTGTTTCCCCACTTCGCGCAGCAGGTGGTGTGGTGATGACGAAAATCCATGCTTGACCACATTACAAAAACCACGAGTTTCCACGAAAAAAGAGAAGAAAGCCGCACGAACGCGGCACGAATCTCGCGCCGCGACCTCCTCCCAGAAGCGAAACAGCTCGCGGGCTCGCGCAAGCTCGCGTCTCGCGGCGGCCAGCGCATCTCGAGGCGCGAGGCGCGGGTTTGGAGAGAGAGAAAACTCGCCCAGGACACGTTGAAAGAGTGAAAGAGAAAGTTACGATAACAAGCTTTAAAGCCAGTCATACCTTCAAAACAACTTCATCATTATTTAACGTATAAATTATGTGAATCATATTTACTTAGAACAAAATAACGTCTGCCCATACCTGCCGGGAGCGCGGCAATCGGAAGAAGTTCGCCCGACCGGACGTACGTCATAAATATACGCGGCCGGACGGAAGTTGCCAATAGCTTCATCCCCCTGGCACGACGCTGCTCGTTCGACACACTGCCGCCATCTATTGGGGAGCAGTGCAAACTTGGCGGTCCGGCGTACTTTCTTTCTCTCGCGCATTATCCTTTTTTTTCCTGGCTCGAAAAACTTTTGTCAACGTCATAAAGAGCTTTTCTTATAGGTATTACGTACATTTTGACCTCGGAAATCCCTCAAAGACTTCGCTCTTGCGAAATGCAGTTCCAGGGTCACCGCATAGATGGCGCCAGAGTTCCAGAGTGTTCTCTCGGTCGTACTCTGTTGCAAGCAAGGAGGTTAGAAGTACTAGGAGGGGGCACGTAGCAATATTGGTGAAGCCTAGTCATAAAAAGTTTAAACGATTTTGTGCCCAGCGTGACCGCAGATCTCTCTGGCGATTGGTGCGCGTGACATGTCACGTGTGAGATGGATGGTTGATTGTAGAAGGACTCTTTGCAGGCTTGCGCGCGCTCCGTCCGGTAGGTTTTATCAGATCGAAGGCTAGACTGTGGTGTATTCTAGTACCCCATAGCAAGACGAAGGCTAGTTGCGGTCACATGATGTGGTCACGTTGGCATGGTAAGTGAGGAAAGTAAGGAGGAAAATGAGAAAGAAGCGAGGCGTCAAGGGAGCATGGCTTGTGGAGGCTACGCGGCCGACGTCATGCCCTCTCCTACCCTTCTATCCTCTTTGGTTGCAAGCGTGGAGAATAGAAGGGTAGGAGGGGGCATGACGTCAGCCGCGTAGCCCCCACAAGCCATGCTCCCTTGACGCCTCGCCTTTTTCGCATTTTCCTCCTTACTCTCACCACATCACGTGACCGTAGCTAGCCTTCGTCTAGCTATGGTGTACTAGAATACACCACAGCCTAGCCTTCGATCTGACAAAAACCTACCGGACGGAGCGCGCGCAAGCCTGCAAGGAATCTTCCTACAATCAACCATCCATCTCGCACGTGACATGTCACGCGCACCAATCGCCAGACAGATCTGCGGTCACGCTGGGCACAAAATCGTTTAAACTTTTTATGACTAGGCTTCACCAATATTGCAACGTGCCCCCTCCTAGTGCTTCTAACCTCCTTGGTTGCAAGAGTGTAAACGGACCTCTTCGTCCGGCGGAGGAAGCAAATGCTTCTCGCGGAGGACAGCTCTTGGCGATTGTTGCCCCAAACGCCGGCAGGCTTGCGGAAAAAATAAGCATACGGTTCCTTCCCCCTCTAATTTGAGTCGTCCACCTCCCAGATGCATTCTTGCGGGCTCTCGACTTTAGGCCCATTTGCTCTCCCCTTTTTGTGCGACCCAATTACCGGCTTTGCTCAACACCCCCTAGAAATAAGGCCGTAGCGCTCTTGTTGTGACGTCTCAAAGGAAGGCCATCGGGGGCGCGCGTCGAAGCGAAGGCAACGCGCGTGAATCGACCGTCGTAACGCGCTTTTAGTCACATACGAGTGTCTTATTAGCTAAAATGAAAACAGCACATAGCAACGGCTCTAGAAAACATCTCATTACACGGACAAAATATTACACCGCTAAATAGACGGTACGAAATGGCACGAGGTATGCGTAGAAGACGTCTATAGAAAAATGTGATGGTTTTAAGCCGAAAACATCACGCAATTATTGCTGTAGAAATGCATATTTTATACACAAATACTTCGACAAAATGGCGAGAGACGCAGTGATTGGACACAGCAAAACAGATCACAGTTAAAAATCAGGTAGACGTAGTCAACGCGGACCCGGCTAGACAAATGTCACTTACGATGTTATCGCGTGCAGTCGCTGAATTCTTGCATTATACCGCGGCCACATGGCAAAATTAATGTAATTTCGATCGAATGACATTATGGGGTCGACAAATTAGCTTGCGGCGCTCGTATAATCACACAACACCACGAGCTGATTAAATCCCATATCATTTAAGGAAAACATATGAACTTTTCTATGTGGCAGGGGTACTAAACTTACTATTTATGGTCAACTAATCTACTTCTCCCAAAGGGCTCGAGCTGCCTTAGAACAAAATATAACTTATTTTGTATACAATCTTACTATTACCTTAATAGAGTTAAGATTCTAGTATAAACGCGGTAAAGGCAATAACTTTAGTATAAATAAACACACAAGCACAAACAACACACTTTCAATAATCACACAAACTTGTTATTCACCTTCCAGTAAAAACTAGAATATTACCACGCATATTTATAAATGTCGACGCATCTGCACAAGGATAACGTCGAAAAACAAGTTTCCCTCCATCACGATTTGAAAAAAGAAGAAAAAAAGATGCAGCATTTAACTTGCGTCTAACATGACCAAGAAAGCTCGTAAATACGTTGTTTCTCACCTGTCGATCGTATCCATACGTCCCACAATATCCGCCAAGAAAACATTCGAACACGAACTCCAAGAAGACTCCCTTTGTCGAGAGAGAGGTCTGTCCATAATCGACCAGTGTCATCGTTGACTAGTTGTCACACATGTCGCTCAAACCGAAGCAGGACTTGCTCCGCTAATTAACGTAAATGCCGTAGTATCAAGTGAACACAGCCAAAAACTGCCCGGGACTGCGGTGACGACAGGAGAACGACGAAGAAAGAAGCAAAAGAGGTCTCAAAAGAACCACACGAGAGCAGCGGCAGCATTGTGAGACGAGAGGCTTCACGTTGTCGAACCATCTCTTGCTCGTGTGCGCTCCTTCAGGAGATGACTGGGTTTTTCTTCAGTTCCCTTCCCTTCTAAAATGTATCAGCGTTCCTTTTCAAACAGTCAGCAGCTCACACACAACGTAAATTTACCAGAATCGGAGCCCGTATGAGGGAAGAAAAAGTCACATCGGAGACGGTTCATTCGAAAAGTGTGGGTTGCTGCGGGACTGCATGTAGTCCCGCGGTTACGGGAATACTTAGAAATATAAAAATTTAGTATTTTCAACCTTGGTAACGCATTGTATGTTACGTTTATATTATACATATAATAAATTATACGAGACAGCGCTTTTAAGGCGTAGATTAACGTTGGATAAGCGCGCACGAATACCACCGCGCCGCTTGATAAGAACATTTTTCTCACGTCGGTACCAATTATAGTTTTTCACGTAGTTGCGCCATGGCCTTCCTTCGCCGACATTGTGACGTAACCGCTC